AAATTTTATCTAAGAGCAATTACTCACAAATAAAATGCTGCAAAATTTGTGATATTGGGATCAAGACAAAAAAAACCCAACCCTGTCATAAAATGCATAAATTGACCAGACAATTTTATTGTAAAGGTTGGTATGTAATAAACAATCAAACAGTATTACAAAAATAGGCTTTAGACATTTTGCAATGACAATAAGCTCATTCCTGAAGGAAATTATATAGAATTGATGACTGCCAACACAAAAATAGTACATAATAATTATGTATGCCACAGAAACATAGAACAAATTACAATGTAGCAAGCATAAAATCCTGGAATCAAACCTTGGGGAAAAAATCTTTGTATGCAATATAAGTGATTTTTTACCTTAAATATAGAAGACAATGTTGTCTTTGAAAACCCAATTATTTTGCATCTATTTCGTTAGAAAAATATGAATAAAATTACAAATCAAGAATTTTTCCTCTTAATTTTTAGAATTGATCATATATATTATACAAGAGGGCCATGATGGCCCTGGGGTCGCTCACCTGTACATAGGCCCCCAGGGCGGGGCTAGTTTAAACCAAAGGGCTTTTATTTGAACAAACTTGGAAGACACCCATTAAGAAGATGTTTCATTGATGTTAAGTTTTTACTATACACAAATAATGAAAAACAATGAACTTTTGCCCCCCTCCCCCTGGCAGGGGCCAATTTTAACCCAAAAGGGCTTTTATTTAAAACAAACTTGGTAGACACCCATTAGAACATGTTTCATTGCTAAATATCTTAGCTCTAGCTCTTTGGGTTCTTTAAAAAGAAGATTTTTAAGTTTTTAATTACTATATGCAATATAGGGAAAATCAATGGCCCCCTAGGGCGGGGCCAATTTTGACCAAGGGCTCTTTTATTTGAACAAACTTGGTAAAAACATCCAATTAGAAACATGTTTCAACATGCTAAATATCTTAGCTCTAGCTCTTTGGGTTCTTTAAAAGAAGATTTTTAAGTTTTTACTCTATGTATATAGGGAAAAATCAATGACCCCTGCGGGCGGGGCCCAATTTTTTTACCCCAGGGCTTTTATTTGAACAAACTTGGTAGACACCCATTAGAAAATGTGTCATGTTAAATATCTTAGCTCTAGCTCTTTGGGTTCTTTAAAAGAAGATTTTTAAGTTTTTACTTCATGTATATAGGAAAAATCAATGACCCCTGGGGCTGGGCCAATTTTGACCCCAGGGCTTTTATTTGAACAAACGTGGTAGACACTCATTAGAAGATGTTTCATGTTAAATATCTTAGCTCTAGCTCTTTGGGTTCTTTAAAAGAAATTTTTTTAAGTTTTTACTATATGCATATAGGGAAAATCAATGACCCCCTGGGGCGGGGCCAATTTTGACCCCAGGGCTTTTATTTGAACAAACTTGGTTGACACTCATTAGAAGATGTTTCATGCTAAATATCTTAGCTCTAGCTCTTTGGGTTCTTTAAGAGAATTCTTTTTAAGTTTTTACTATATGCATATAGGGAAAAATCAATGACCCCTGGGGCGGGCCAATTTTGACCCCAGGGCTTTTATTTGAACAAATTTGGTAGACACCCATTTAGAAGATGTGTCATGCTAAATATCTTAGCTCTAGCTCTTTGGGTTCTTTTAAAAGAAGATTTTAATTTTTACTACATGTATATAGGAAAAATCAATGACCCTGGGCTGGGCCCCAATTTTGACCCCAGGGCTTTTCTTTGAACAAACTTGTAGACACTCATTAGAAGATGTTCATGTTAAATATCTTAGCTCTAGCTTTTGGGTTCTTTAAAAGAATTTTTTTAAAGTTTTTACTATATGCAATATAGGGGGAAAATCAATGACCCCCTGGGGCGGGGGCCAATTTGACCCCAGGGCTTTTATTTGAACAAACTGGTAGAACTGATTTAGAAGATGTTTCATGCTAAATATCTAAGCTCTAGCTCTTTGGTTTTTAGAAGAAGATGTTTTTAAGTTTTTTTCTTTTTGGTTGCCATGGCAACCAGAGTTCTGCATGGAATCGGGAATTCTTTGAACAACTTTGTTAAGGCTTCAACATAAGGAACATCCCTGTGAAGTTTCATTATGATCTGCCTTATGGTTTCAGAGGAGATTTCGTTTGAAAAGTGTGAACGGACAACGGACGACGTACGACATACGACGGACGACAGACGACGGACGAAGAGTGATCCTAATAGCTCACCCTGAGCATATGCTCAGGTGAGCTAAAAACAGGACCAAGCAGTGTTAAATATATCTTGCTACTAAAGTAATTTTCAACATTTTTACTCCTGGCGACATCGTTAAAAATAATAATATACATCATGATACTTCATAAGAAGATTTTCTTCATTATCTATCAAAATTTTCTCACAAAACATACAAATTACATGCAAATTCTATGCAAAATCCATCTTACTTTGCATCTAAAAGACATAATAAAACATGTATTATACTTTTACATCATGCACATCGAGTTCTCTGGAAAATATTTCCTTACATATTTTTTGGTATAATAAATATAAAGTTTTAACACATTACATCCTATTATGCAAATAAAATTCTTTGGTTTGAGGCAAAATTAATGATATAAAATCTTACTGTCATTAAATCAGATATATTTACATCAAATACAGAAAATAAAACAAAAGAAGTTTGACAGCATGTTGCAGGATAGTATAAACTGCAAATAGCCTTGTTACTATTGAATTTAACTAAAATGATTTTTTATTCAATACTTGTCTCATAATGCTGAACATTTGAGTCAAGTAATTCTAAAATCCATGCATGCATGGGGAAGATGTATCCTGATAAAACTGAATGCTAATCCTGGTTGCAACCTGCCCACCAAGGGTGATCCCATTATATGTCACTTTTTAAACGAGAAAAACCAGAGTATTAAAAAGAAAATACATGCAGGCATTCAAATATTATTATGATTAATAAATCCAAATTTTAACAAAGAAGAAACATGAAAATAAAGAGTAAAAGTGACAGATCAAACAGTTCTCAATAATCAAAATGTTTACTTAATTGACAATGAACTGCATTGTATTTAACATCATCTGACATACAAATTTCCTTATTTCCATGCAGGGCAATAAAGAATGACACAATTTTCATAATTTGAAGTGATTTCCCTGGTTATGTAATAAAGTTAAATACCAATGATACTTTAGAGATATTTCATGGCTTAAATTCAGTCTTATTTGCATATTTTCTATATAGAATGATAAAAATAAATGGGAGGTAGAATATAGTACATGTATATTTAAAACAATTAGTACATGTACATTTAATACAATTGAGAAAGGCAAAAAAAGACCAGCAGTAACAAAGGATTAAAATTTGAAAATATAAATTATTATTAAATAATAATAAAGTAAATAGGAACACATTTTTATGTAGAAAGTAAAAGTACCAAGTGGTATTTTAAGTACCAAATGGTAAGCTTAATAATAAATAAGGAATGCTTCAAAAATTTGGTGAACTGTAAAGAAATTTTTATATTACACTTTGGAATGATGGCATAATATAATGGCAACTTAATACAACTTTTGTAAATATTCAAAATAAAATGCTCTCGTCACATCATACACCATTTTGTGTTAAATGCTCAAATTGTATAACCAGAAAATCATCACATATAAATGCTTAATTTACAACATGCTTGCACATCACATATAAATGCTTAATTTACAACATGCTTGCACATCACATATAAATGCTTAATTTTCAACATGCTTGCACAATCAAAATGAACTCCTTTTTTTCCAAGACTTATAATAACATGATTTTCATGTGTAACATGTATATAAATCAATATTTGTAATATCTTCAAACATTCAAATTTTACACATAAAAATGTACATAAGTAGATACAGTCATTCAAACAATTTGAGCAAGTTTTAAAGGCCAATGCAACAGTGTTTTTAACTCATCAGTTTATTGTAATTTAATGTTTACAACAATAAACATGTATAAAACACTTGTTTATAATGCTTAGAAATTTAGATCTCTGTGCATTGTTACTTATTAAACAAGTGCTGTTGGTAGGACAGCATGCTCAACTATTCTCAGTGCTTGATAGTAAAACAAGAGCTTTTTTACCTCAAGAAAGACCATAATTCTGTAAAATCCATGTTCAAATTAGAGACCTTGGAGAGTGACCTACTATTATGCTCTTAAATAGTGCTCGAAGTTTAAATTTATTCCCTCTAGTATGTTTTGAAATACCAATTTGCACACAAAAACATAACCAAAGTGTGATGCTGACAAAAATGCCTGTGTGAGAACAATAGCTCTCCCTATTTTTAAAATAGTTGAGCTAAAAACTAAAATTGAATCACAAACCTACCTCACATACTGGTCTGGTTCTATAATAATGGCACATGTTATTCAAGTAATTAAAAAAAGCCATTATGTTTAAATTTACATCAAGTTTGTTCATCAAATCATTTTCGTGAATTAATTTGTACATATAAATCACATTTTTCAATTAAATTCTTAGCATAATTTTGTTGTTCTTTAAATATAGAATTGTAAATGATTCATTCTTTAAATATAGAATTGTAAATGATTCATTCTTTAAATATAGAATTGTAAATGATTCATTCTTTAAATATAGAATTGTAAATGATTCATTCTTTAAATATAGAATTGTAAATGATTCATTCTTTAAATATAGAATTGTAAATGATTCATTCTTTAAATACAGAATTGTAAATGATTCATTCTTTAAATATAGAATTGTAAATGATTCATTCTTTAAATATAGAATTGTAAATGATTCATTCAAAAGATATGATTATCAAACTACTAAAGAAACAAAAGTACAGGCTGGTCCGATTGTAGGAATTTACAAGTTTACCTATACATGTGGCATATACATGTCATAACCACCTAAACAAGTTTAAGTAGGTATCTTTAACAAATAAATCTTAATTAAAACTTAGAGAGATATAAATTTTCATCTATTAAAGTTTAAAGTCATGTTGAACAGAACTGGTTTAATTCAAAATTTCAAACAAAAATCACAAAGTGCTTTGGTATTGTAATGAAATGTATCACACATCTGTTTGTTGGAGCTCAGATTTTTGCTTTATCTTATTAAGATATCCCATGGCTTTTATTGTTTTAAACTGATCAGGTATCTCCATCATTGCATGAAGGGCGAATGTCAGCTCTGGTTTTCTTGATTTAGCTGTCACTTTATGGTAGTTCACAAACTGAAAATTGTCAAATTTACGTTTCGGCAGTAAATTATCAAAATCCTCCATCGTTTCCCACGGTCCATCCCCTACACCAATAACTACAATACTAAGCGGATATTCCGATGCAGCTACAATAGCATCTATAGTTCTATCTTCCTCTGTTACCTGTCCATCCGCTATAATAAGAAGTATGTGATACTGCCGTTCTTGTTTTACTATTTCTATTGCTTTGTAAATTAACGGAGCATAATTGGTTGGACCACTAAGATGTACCCTAGTTGCTATGTTATTATATCGTTCTAAAACTTCTACAAATCCTTTGCATGAAGAACCGTCAGAATGGAATGGAAACACATTTTCATCTAATGTAGTGCTATCACCAAATCCAAACGCAGGAATGTTTCTATCATCATCAAAAGGTTCTAATGTATTTCCCATGATATGTATAACTTTCTGATATGGATTGAATATTTTTGAGCCTTCAATACGATGCAAACTATTACCATGAAAAGTTTTTCTACCCTGCCATTCGTTACTTGCGGTAAAATCTATTCCAACTATAAGTCCACAGTGTTCTAACCCAGCCTTTGCACAGGCTTTGCTTACCTCATTAAAGCTCGAGAAATGATCCTCGATTGCATAGAAATTCCTACGATTGTTATTGCTCTCTATACCAAGCACGGCAAATATTGACGGCGTTTTCTGGAAACGTTTCCGTCGTTTTAGTAAAGCTTCTGTAGGGGCAGCAACCTCTTTCTTGTCCCGTCGTTGGAAAGAGTAGTAGAGCACCATTCCGATAATAATCGCTATAACGTAGGCAAACGAAGCATATAGGGACATCGTCAGCTTCCACACATCATAATGGGCCTTCTGTAACCTAGAAATAGAAAATCAACATAGTTATGTAACAGTAAACACTATTCACATTGACATTAAGATGGTAACAAAAATATAATGTCAGCTTCACATACCAAACTGCTTTTAACATTTCCTTACATATTTTAGCATAATCTACTAGGTGTTTTTTTTTTCACAGTAAAAAAATATGAATGTCTTACTACATGCAGAAACACGCACACATTTTAGCAAGACATGTTTAGGTTTAGAAAACCTGTGAAAGGACCTTAAACACATAAGCAATCTCCAGGGCAGAATTAATAGCACTTTTTCAAATACTAAAAAATGCTGTACAAGGGTTTACAACACTTGTAAACCATTAGCATAGATCTCTCTAAAAAGTACAAAATGTTCAATATTTTGAAAGACAACAGCTAGCTTCTAAGAGCTACAATATACACAAATTTCAATAAATCAGAAAAGTAAAAGGAAACAAGACTCAAATATAGCATGACTAGGTTTATATTGAATAAACTGAACTATCACCAAAAACAATTATATAAATAATAAATCTATACTTTTTATTTGCAATCAATATGTACAGATTAACATTTGGTCGGTGATTATGATTGATGTTCTATTCCAGACAACAGTTCTTAACGACCAGACTTAATGCAATCTCAAGGATTACGATGCACATGATGTTGTCTGATTTGACACTCAAGTATTGAGCATTATTCATCTCAAGGACTTTAACAAGAAATACTACAAAAACCTGATAAAAAGAGCATTAATTTGATTGTACAAGAAGCTAAACTCGTAAAAACACTCAAATTTAATCCTGCAACCAACCAGTACTAAGAAATGAGAGTAAATTTTTTAAAAAAAAACCCTGATGGGTTGCTCTTGCCAGGGTTCGAGCCCAAACTGTAATTAACCAGTACAAGACAGACCAGTAAACCACTAAACCATACAGTAGCATGGCTACACAACCAGGTCAGTTATATACACAGACTCTTTAAATGTTAACTGTTTATCATTATTGAACCTAAATTGATATTAGAACAATGCAGTTATACAAGTTTACTAGTGAAAAATGAATTGTTGTTTTACAATTTATTTAAACACTAAATTTGTCTTCAATAATTGGTTTGAAGAATTTTATTATTTTTTAATAGGGTTAAATTTTTAATGATTTTTTTTACCCCCTAGTTTTAAATACATTAATGCTAGAAATGGATACAGTTGACTGTCCTTTACTATCTGAACACCATCAAATATCTATTGCCATAAATTTGTATAGAGAAGTTGTTGAGAAGGTAATTCAACTATTGACATTAAACCACAAGAGAGCCCTACAGTAGGATAGATGATAAAAAACATAAAATATTCACAAGTCCAGTCATATATCACTATATAAGAGAGAGAGAGAGAAATATTATAAATCACATTTCTATAATTTCCACACACTTATGAGGCCATAGGGCAGTCTGCTAAATGTCAATGGTTGAGAAAGATAAATGGAGATTTTCATCCTGAAATTTATAACAATATTTTTTTTTTGTGCTCATGATTTCAAAAATATAAGAGAGCATAAGTCAATAACTTTCAGATGATAATGGTTATAATTATTAATATTTATCTCAGATATAATTTCTAGAATACCATTTCAACAAAGGGCAGCTGATATACTTAGTATAGGAGAATTTAGCCGCTGTACATGTAATTCCAAAAATGTTACTTTTATTCCAGCGCCCATTGCCCCAACTGGATGCAAGGAAACATTAAAATATTTTGGTAATATAAATATAAAACTGTATATATACAAGATCTTTACTGTAGCTGGCAATTAATTGAATTGATCTGGTAATGGTATCAATTCAGTGAAGTTAATACTTATTAAGTTATGATACCTTAATGAATATATAAAAAGAAAATGTTAAAACATTTCTGTCTCCGAGTGAATTTAATATATAATGTACATAGGTGTGACCTGTTGCATGAAATAAACCCTGGAAATGCCCTGCAGTAAACATTTATTTTGTGCTAGCATAAGCAGGTTTTGATAATCTGAGTATTTTTGTAATATTACAAACCTTTCAATACAAGCTGTTACATATAGCGGATTTTCCATACTGTATTAATAATGGCAATTTTACACCCTAACACTTGATAATATTTAGCCCATGCCACTAGGTTATCATTGAGCAAGGCCAGCCTGCACAATTCCTGACAATCTGATAAGACTTGATAATGCAACCTATTAGAACCAGGCCAGCCTGCACAATTCCTGACAATCTGATAAGACTTGATAATGCAACCTGAGTATTAGAACCAGGCCAGCCTGCACAATTCCTGACAATCTGATAAGACTTGATAATGCAACCTATTAGAACCAGGCCAGCCTGCACAATTCCTGACAATCTGATAAGACTTGATAATGCAACCTATTAGAACCAGGCCAGCCTGCACAATTCCTGACAATCTGATAAGACTTGATAATGCAACCTATTAGAACCAGGCCAGCCTGCACAATTCCTGACAATCTGATAAGACTTGATAATGCAACCTATTAGAACCAGGCCAGCCTGCACAATTCCTGACAATCTGATAAGACTTGATAATGCAACCTATTAGAACCAGGCCAGCCTGCACAATTCCTGACAATCTGATAAGACTTGATAATGCAACCTATTAGAACCAGGCCAGCCTGCATAATTCCTGACAATCTGATAAGACTTGATAATGCAACCTATTAGAACCAGGCCAGCCTGCACAATTCCTGACAATCTGATAAGACTTGATAATGCAACCTATTAGAACCAGGCCAGCCTGCACAATTCCTGACAATCTGATAAGACTTGATAATGCAACCTATTAGAACCAGGCCAGCCTGCATAATTCCTGACAATCTGATAAGACTTGATAATGCAACCTATTAGAACCAGGCCAGCCTGCACAATTCCTGACAATCTGATAAGACTTGATAATGCAACCTATTAGAACCAGGCCAGCCTGCACAATTCCTGACAATCTGATAAGACTTGATAATGCAACCTATTAGAACCAGGCCAGCCTGCACAATTCCTGACAATCTGATAAGACTTGATAATGCAACCTATTAGAACCAGGCCAGCCTGCACAATTCCTGACAATCTGATAAGACTTGATAATGCAACCTATTAGAACCAGACCAGCCTGCACAATTCCTGACAATCTGATAAGACTTGATAATGCAACCTATTAGAACCAGGCCAGCCTGCACAATTCCTGACAATCTGATAAGACTTGATAATGCAACCTATTAGAACCAGACCAGCCTGCACAATTCCAGGCAACTTCAGACAAGACTTTATAATGCCACCTAACTATCTGAAAGCAAGGCTGACCTATACAATTCCAGGCAATCTGATCAGACCTAATACAGCCACCTGACTATCAGAAAACCAGGTCAGCCTGTACAATTCCAGACACTGAGACATATATCATTGAAAAATTTAATTTATATTTAATAAAAATATCATTTATCCATTTTAATTAACAGTTTTTGAATAATATTTAGAGGTGTATTCCATTATATTAAATAAGGCAACAAGAAACTGCCAACCCAAAAATTGTTAACTGCATAAAAGATGGCACATTTGCTAAACTAAACTTAACTTGTTGGAATCATTATTCCCTTTGGTAGACAAAATAACTGTATTATGAATAAAATCTATGAAAAACATATTTATTGTCTATGAAAAACATATTTATTGTCCATGAAAAACATATTAACTGGCTATCAATTTATTAGGAAGGTTTGTGTTTAGTTTATACAGTCTTATTACACAACATATAATGTTTCAATGTGACAGACTACATCTTAATGCCAATAGTTTCTTATAACTAAGAATCAAAATAATGTATGTAAAATGTCTTGATGTGACAGACTTCATCTTAATGCCAATAGTTTCTTATAACTAAGAATCACAATAATGTATCGATGCATAATGTCTTAATGTAACAGACTTATAACATCCTAATGCCAATAGTTTCTTATAACTAAGAATCACAATAATGTATGTATAATGTCTTAATGTGACAGACTTCATCTTAATGCCAATAGTTTCTTATAACTAAGAATCAAAATATTGTATGTATAATGGTCTTTATGTGACAGACTTCATCTTAATGCCAATAGTTTCTTATAACTAAGAATCACAATAATGTATGTATAATGTCTTTATGTGACAGACTACATCTTAATGCCAATAGTTTCTTATAACTAAGAATCAAAATAATGTATGTATAATGTCTTGATGTGACAGACTACATCTTAATGCAAATAGTTTCTTATAACTAAGAATCAAAATAATGTATGTATAATGTCTTGATGTGACAGACTACATCTTAATGCCAATAGTTTTTTATAACTAAGAATCAAAATAATGTCCAGACAGATCAAACATTATATACTGAGAACATGGTTTGTTAATTAGTTATTCTCTATATAAAACCTTCATATTTTATCAAAGTTACAATACCTATACTACATCAGTGTTTGTATAAACAAATTGGCTGTCTTTGATAACATGACAATTCTGACAATTTGTTCCACACTACACGAGCTTAACATTCTGACAAATGAATATTAGTAACCTGACAAACACCACAGACTTTATAAAATATTAACATGCTGGAACCGAAAGTGATTAATATTTGTCCCCAGTATAAAGACAGGCCTACACATCTGTGCAGTCTGATCTTTACTTTTTTATCTTTAATTGTCCCAAAAATTGGTAAATAGATAGTTCCATTAATATTGAAGTTGAACAAGTCCATGTAAGAAATTCAGCATTATATAGTGTTAATACTTATAATATAAATGTCAGTACTTATGAATGTATAGTCACCTTTGGTATAATTTAGTTTAAACATAGAATACATCTAGCCAGTTTATTTGAAGTTACTACTCTCAAGTCTGTTTCCTGGAGCTAATATACTCCAGTACTGGTTACTGTCAGATATAGAAACATGGTGGTTAGCTCTATGGTGCTT